ATGTATGCTCAATGGAAGACCTCGGTCTTGGGTTTTCCTCATCGGTTTTCAATGTATGTTCAGTGTAAGACCGACCAACCTAAAGCGTTTGGTGACGACATGTTCGGACAGTGCTCAAATGTCAAGTGTACAAGCGACCATGATTTCAAGTGCACAAGCGACCCAAATTTCAAGTGTACAAGCGACAGCTCGCCCCACCTCGGCAGAGGTGACCCCCACCAGGACGTCCACGTCGTGGTCCACGACGTCGCGCACCGCATCCAGGTGGCCGGAGCGGAGGCCGTGGCGGAGCAGGGCGATCAAGGTGCCACTGTAGGGAAACCAGTCCTCAGGCGGAAAAAGAGGTGAAAAGGAGTGAAAAAGGGGCATGCAGCATCGGGTGTTTCATGTGTTTGCTCTCTTTTGGTGTGAACTTGGAATTTGGTGTGTGAGGCTACGAATTCAAGAAAACTGACAAAGACGTGGAAAACGGTCGTCGAAAATTCTTCCGAAAGCCGTGTGCTTCGACGTCTGCACGCCAAACCACTAGGCCAACGCTTGACAAAGTATGGAAAAGGCCCCCAGTGGAAAAGGCAAGAACGCTGTTCAGATCCCCAGCCTGGTTCGGGTTGGCCCAAGGTGCCGGGGTGGCAATGACCATGGATCAAACTAAAACACCTGTTGCTGAAGAAAGAAACCCTGCACCGCCGGAGCATCCCACACCCATCGCGGATTTCTTCCATCACCTGGAGGCCAAGTGGTGCATCTAGGGCCGCTGGATGAGGCACACGGCATGTGGTTGAGGCACTGGATCAAACCATATCAAACCCAGTGCTTCTTCGGTGGCTGAACAAAAATGACGAGCACATATATATGACATAATATGCTGGCTCGACTCAAAGATGTTCATTTACCAAGTTGTAATTATGCTGACATCCTTGTATTACTGCATGTGACCTTCACGGAAAGAACGTGGAACAAGCAAAAACGGACCCAACGAACCGACCAGGATGCTTCACCCAAACGGTCGAGGATGTGCAGGGTACCGTACCCTGCAGGGTACCGTTGCACCCTTCCATAACCAGACGTGTCCAAGCTTCCAAGCCTTCCTCTTCCAAGATCACGCTCACGTCTTCCAAAGCCTGACTGGCCATGCTCAACGTTAGAACAACAGGAGGTTTGGATGATGAGTGCACAAACAATTGGCAGCAATTCAGAGCTGGTGCTGATCAGCACTCCTAAAAGGAGGGGCCTTTTGATCAAAATCTAAATCATTCCAATGTCGACTTACCCCGTCCCAGTACAATTTTGATCAAGGCAAGGCAAACTCAGGTTGCTGGGGCAACCTTTTGCGACAACAAGGAGGAGACTCGTCGTTTCCACACGCCCAGCCTGAGTATGTGCTTCATCACTGGTGTCCACTGGCTCTGGGTCCCACTGCGGCCTGGACGCAGCAACCCGCTCGTTGAGCCATTGTACAATTTCGGTGTACCTAAGATGTGCCGTGGCCCTCGGCGGTGGCAGCTGGAATAGCTGGGCCACACGCGAGCAGCTTGGGAAACCTAACATATAGGCAAATGAAGAATGTTTTTGATTGGTCTGCTTGATACTGTACTGTAGCGGGGTCACCACTAAAACAATGTTCAAAGCACGGTCATCACCTGGCTTCTCATCCCGAAGAGAGTGCTGATCCCAGTGCCAAGCTGCGCTCGTGCAGCCTCCGAGAACGGCCATGAGCCATCAGTCTGATGGCTCAATCCCATCCCCAGCAGCATCTCCTTCTGCAATCGGGACAGGCGGTGGAAGAGCCCTTCGTGCTCCAGGTTGTTTCCTGACTTCACACAGTCAGGTCCGCACACCCAAAGGAATGCCTCTGCAACAGTCACGAGAAGGTGAGTCAAACACCCAATGATTGCTTTTTCGGCCGGTCGTCAGCCCAAGTCTCTGGAGGCAAAGGCAAACTTGATGTCATGGAGCATGAACATCACAGCCGCAATCACCACTGCTGCAGGGCACCCCGTGCCATCCAGCAAGACCTCTCGCCGGAGCCAAATCACCTGGAAACCGCGATCGCTCTCACCAATCATTCCAAGTATGATGGCAATTGGCAATAGAAGAATGCCATGGGGTTTGGTTTCCTTGGCGGTGCTTGTCTTTGCTTGTCTTTGGGCAACTGTTTGTCCTGTTAGGCTAAGCGGCTAAGCGGGCAGGCCCACAGAACATGGGGCTCCAGGCAGTCTATCTGTTCCTTTTTGGATGACTTAGGCACACCAAACGGCCCGAAACCCAAGATCCTGATGCTGTGAACACCTTGGCCAACTCCAAGAGGTCTGGATGCAAAGGGGCGTTCAGGATGCCCATCTGCTCACCTTTCAAACACGGAGATTCTCCTCCGGGTCGCTTCACTGATTCGATGCCTTCACTGATTCCAGCCTCCTCTTCCCTCCCCATCCTCTACTTGCAAAAATGAACGGCCAACGCAACCGCAACAAAAACATCCATGGCCCCACTTGTAGGCGCATGTAGGCGCATTAAAACAACTATCGAACCCGCAAAGCAGGTAGGGCCTGGATGACCTTCGACCTGCGAAACTCGTGGCACACACGGCGAAAGGTGTGATATATCGGCTTCGGATGGGTCTATGGCTTCTGTTCTATGTGGTCAATCAACCGCCTGCTATCACCTGCAAAACTATGTCGTTCCATCAACAAACCTCCGGCCGCTGGCCTTGCTGAAAGTGCTTCGTTGACAAGACCTCCAAGGCTGAAAAGGAAGAGGCTGTGAGATCTGTTGAGCGGCCAAAAGAATTCAAAGGATCTACAAATTTCCACTGCACTTGAAAAAGGTTTGTGTGGGCGCCGAAGCCTTGCCGAGCCTGGAACTGCGTGAGGTTCAACCCATGTGCGCGCCGCACGCAGCGCTTGGAGAGCCCTGGGTCCACTTGGGCCGCCGAAGCGCTCAGCAAAAAGACCTGAGGAACACCAACATAGCCCTTGTAGCACGTGTGCATGTTGTCACTGGATGATGTTCACTAGAATTCTCACCAGCGGTCGCACCAATAAAAGCAAGTGGTTGCATGCATTAACAAACGGGGCTGCTGGTCTACTTTGACCGTCCTTCCCAGCGTTCGTCGGGCTGCAGATGCGACTGGAACGGCGTGAGTGATGCGCGCTTGGGGCGTTGAACTGGAATTTCAAGTGACCTATACAATCTATACATCTCTTGGGGTGTGGAAGTTGTGGTTGGATCTTCTGATGCCCGTCAGGTCTGGCTGCCAAAGCAACCTTCAAGGCTTTGTTGGGCACAATAACATGTGCCAGGCAACTGTTTCCACCACCTACCACGTGGCACACGATAAATCACGATAATATGGGAACAACAAAGGCGACTCCCATCAGGCCCCCCCTGAACCCGTGGCCGGCGGAAGGGATCAGCAGGTCGCCCGCCGGATCCGGTCACGGGATCATGGGATCAGGGAAAATCAAACAAGACCTGGTAGCAGGGCATCGCTACGAACGGAGCGTTCGGACGCTACTAGGGGCTCCTGGCAGCGCTAGTAGGAGCAATGTGCGCTAGTAACAAGGGCATTGCTACTAGGAACAGGAAGCTACTAGGCATCGCTAGCGAGTCTCTGGGAGATTTTGATCCAGTCGATGCATTCCTCGCGCTCTTTCCCGCGCCGGGTCACCTGTGCGGACACCCAAGAACGCCCCGAGATGCTGGTAATGCACCGCGGTGGGTTCTGCGGGTCTTTGCAGCCAAGCCCATACTTCATTGCTTTGGCCATTGGCCAGGCCACTTTGTGGAGCACTTCGGAGTCTCCAGGCGCTGGCCCCCTGCGGCATCATGAGCTCCACCGCCATTGGCGAGGCCACTCAGAAGCAGCTGGCGCGAGAGCAGCCGCCGGCCGGGCTATACCCCACCTGTGTTGGTTGCAAGCCTGAGCCGGCGGGTGCCATCTGAAGCCAGGCCTCTGCGGTTTCCCTTTCATCGGCCTGGATGGTGGCTGTGGGCCTGTTCCGTCTCGCAGTTCGTCTCGTCCAAATCCTGATCCGACACTAACTCGGCATCCACAGGGTCAACCATGAAGAAGCTCTCAGTGGTAGTCGATGAAGCCATTGCTGCGTTCAACGAGCGGGAGCGAACCTACCGAGCTTTTTTCAGCAACTGGTGCGTTGGCACTGAGCCAAAATGTCCCAGTGGGACATTTTGGCATCATATCGTGAACATAAACCTTGTAAACACAGGCTTAATGCAAAAAGAATAAAACACTCTCACACTTGCGGTCGTTGCACGCCCACAGCACGAGCGATGGGCTGTCCGCAACAGTCCTTGGCGCATCGTCAGCCTACCTCTGAAACTCGGGATGTTCCCAAGTTCTTCTCAGCGGTCTTGCCAGGTCATTCACCGTATGAATCCTACGCCTGCCACCGAAATCAATCAACGCACCACGCACCTCACTGACCTGTCCAGTGGACCTCAGGCCAATGCCCCCTAAAAGGCCGTGCAACTCCACACGTCGACAGGTCAAGACCCGAGCATTCAACAGCCAGGTCACACTTACCCATCAAGCACCTCAACAAACTCCTAACACACCTCAAAACAGAAAAGGAGAATAAAACAAGATCAGACGCGCGTCCAACAACAGCAGCCTGGCCGTGGGTAGACATGTTGGGGTACATAGACTCTAAAAGACGCCTGGCTCTAAAATCGAACGCCTCCTCTTCGTCTTCAACAAACCCGATCGCCGCAACGCACCACACAGAGGCCAAACGACCCAAGGGCACCACACACGCCACATGTGTGTCACGGGGCCCCATGGCCACGGTCACCCGCGTTGCGGAAACAGGCGCATAAGAGGTACTTACTTCCCATGTCACGTAGCAACTCAGGGCCAGTTAGACAAGAGAAAGGAGCCACTTGCTCGATCTTGAGAGTGTATTGTAACCTAGGACCTAGTCTTGAGTCTTTGTGCCTTGGAGTGTCTTCTCCATTTTGTGTTGAAAGTGTTGTACTTGAGCCATGGCGGCTAGTGGGACACATCAGCTGGCGATCAGTGGGATGGGTACTTTCTAATCGGCCAACTCGTCGAGAGGCATTGGTGTCATCACACAAGTCGCCTCTCAGTCCAGCTGAGTGGGCCATTCTTGCTAAAGCTGCGGTGCTTCGAAAGAAACTGGTCCAATTTGAACAACTCTTGGCCTTGTCTCTCTGAAAAGTGGAGCCCTGCAACTGACCAACTGTCCAAGTGCTAAACAATGCTAAACATGGATCCAACCCCACCTTGGCCCTGGCCCGCCGCTCTTCCCACTCCTGGTTTTCCCAATCAGGTGGGATCTGTTCAGAAAGAAATCGGAAAATCAAGCTGAGGCACCGTCTGATCCTCGGCTGGCTCACACATCCAAGCGTTCTCCTCGTCGTGTTCGACACCCAACACCCCCAGTCCTCGAAGCGTTCGTCATTGAAGGTCCGAGCAATCGCCGTCTGCTCTTGGCACCTTGGCTGGACAAAAGAATTTGTGTCCAATATTTACTAGTAGCTTCTTGTTCCTTGTAGGAAGGCCAGGAGCCCCTAGTGGCTCCCTTGCTCCGTTCGTAGCGATGCCAGGCGCCCCTAGTAGCTTCTTGTTCCTAGGGAGCACTTAGTTGGTTTTGTCGGCGGTCGCGCACAGTTCTGTGCCTACGAAGGTTCACGCACATGGGATGTGCACTTGCGCAAGGTGCTCAAGAACCTGAGGCTAGTTGGCCTCTCTGCGCTCTCCACTTCTCTGCGCTCTCTGTTCGATCTAGGGGTCTTCCATCCAGGTAGATCTGTGGATGGACCCTTTTGTAGGACGAACCTGGAGGGCCCTCGACCGACTGCCAGAGCAATAGTCAGACCTGCGGGAGACATCGGCTATCCGAAGGCGCATCCGATGGCGGCCACTATGGTCGGGCAGGTCAATCCACGCCCTGCCCGACCGGTCCGAGTGTTGACGCCCCGGTTCCTGAGGCATTGAGCGTCGTTTTACGACCTGCTGAGTGGCACTTGTTGAGGAGCGGCAACTGATATGGTTTCCCCTTTCAGTTAGTCAGTGGTCCCGTTCCATCGCCGGAAAGGCGAAAAAGCCAGCGCGACTCAGCACACGACATCATGGGGTCGCATGGTACTTCCCCTCGAGCCTGCCCAGCGGGGAAGCTGAACTTTAGAACTGCTTCAGGCAGGGGAGTGCCACAACAGCAAGATGTGCATGAACAATTACGCATGATGTTCCACATCATGATCATGATGTGTCAGTCTGTGTCAGACTCAGAAGTGCCGCATGGTTGGTTCTGTCATGCGATGTTGCGACATGCGGCACGATGTGATTAGAGTATATAGATTCGAGCGTGGCGACGACTCTCGCCTGAGCCCGAAGGATCAGGTGCTGTGGCCAAGGATCCAGCGATTTCGGCCCTGGCACGCTTCGACATTGAGTCCATCCAAGGGTGCAGAAACATGGGCAACGGCCACAAACGCTCCCTCGCCAGCAAAGGCACAAACAGGGAAGGTGGCCTCCCCACTGAGCTCTCCCTATGAAAAAACTCCGCTCCCTGAAGAGCCCAGCGAGTCACAAGTCCGTTCGGAAAGTTCGGCCTATGAGCTTCACCAGGGTCTGAGTCTGCTCCATGGCATCGCCCACTTTTTGGCCAGCCGCCCTTCGTGGAGGGCAGCAGCCTAGAAACAAGATCGAAAACCTTCCTGGTTGGTGCGGCGCTGGTGGGCCAAATGTAGAGGATTTGGGCCGTTTGGTGTCTTGCTTGTTGATTGGCACGAAAGTTGGATGACAACTGTTCCTGCTTGTTTCTCTGGATTGTGAAGAGGATCTTCACCCTAGATTGGAACTGTGTTTTTGCAACTGCTGGGCAGATCTACAACAGCTGCAAGCCTGTGAGTCAAACAACGCAACACTATGGCACTGCTCACGGAACGACCGGACATGAGAATCGAGCAGAATAGTGACCCCTGAGTGTGGGTCTTGCTTTAACCCAACCCCCCTACGCTGCCATCCCCATTATGGCGTCCCCCTTTTCCGAGCAGCGTCATGCCAAGCGCATGCGCTTGGTCGCAGGGTCCTCGGATCGATTGGCTGCGAAGTAAAGAATTACGGATGCTGTGACAGTGCAGCCGAGATCAAGTTTCTGAGGGGATCTGATTGCAAAAAGTAATTTGGTGAAAAGACCATCTTCTAACCTTCACCTTCACCTTCCCAATCCCCATAAATTTCCCCGTTCAAGGATCACTTCACCCCAAAAATGCTGAGGACGTTGCCTGGTCATCATCTACCACAGCGCCCTGCACCGTTTTTTAACGCGCCGTCACGGACCACGTCGAAAACGCCCTGTAGAAACCAGGAGGGGAAAGAAACAACCTCCATTGTCCTCTGCGGTGGGGAAAAAAACGTCGACCTTCCAAAAGCGGGAGAGGAATACACAAGGCCAACAAAAAGGGCTCGTTCCCCTTGGTGAACTTCACCTAGATCAACTTCATGAGGTGTGTTTTTGATTATTTAATGCATTTTCATACCATCAAATAGCTATGATGTTGCATGACCTCTCTCCCCGTAGACTGTGCCCCACTCATCCAGCCCCTTGAGCAAGAGAGTCGCATAGGAGGACCCTTCCAGTGACCCTTCTGATCAGGAGCACGGTGATCGAAGGTGGGCGAATGAAACGGATCAGCACGACTTCGCGGGACAGATCCAAGCGGCTTCCATTGAAGCAGAAAAAGCAGCAAATCCAACCAAGAAAAAGCACAAAGAAAAAGCCAAGTGCAGCAGGTGCTCCTGGGGTTTTCTCTGGCGTTTTGTTCTTGGTTGGCTCCAAGATCCTAAAACTTCCAAAACTCTGCTCATGCTCGGCAAGCTAAGCAGCTCAGCCGGACTGGAACCTGACCTTTGTCAGCCACAGCCCAGGACTAATTACTACTATATAAATTAGGCTGTTTCAGCCGTAATACTCTTTCCAGTACTCCTTCAAATCATCGAAGGTGTATTCCTTGGTGCCAGTTTCGGAGAATTTCTTCTCCATTTTCTCTTTCACGAAGGGCATGACGAACCCAAAGTCGCCCCGGCTGGCCAGCAACGCCGCTGCCACAAAGGTTGCTTGGTCCACGGCCTTCAAGTCCCCCGTGTCCTTGTCCCAAAAGCAGGTCTCCGCCATCTTCATGGTGTCGGTGAGCAGTTCGTCCTGACCATGACCATCACTAAATCATGTCTGGCTCCAAAAACTTATGAACGCCAAGACCAGCACTTCACCTTAAAACTGGGACTCAAAAAGCGGCATCACAACAACACCTCAAGCAGCCTCGGACCTATATATGCAAAACATCCACACAACGGCATCACATCCCAGCCGCCACCGCCACCATGACCCCGCTCACTTCACAGCACTTTGCATTCTATGCGTCATCAACCGACAAGAACACAAAGCACGTGCATCTGTATTAACTTCCATATGTAGCAGAAATCTGGCAGCAAAATGAACGCCAAGTGTTAAGGGCACAGGGACCCTCCCCTCGCCTCATCACCAGCTTCGTCCTCCTCTGCATCGAACTGCTGGATGTCGTCCGCTCCGTCTAACTCATCCTCACCTGGAAGCTCCAAGTCACCTCCATCATCATCGTCCGGGGTGAAATCCACCTGCGCCCCGGCTGGGCCCGGAAAAACGCTTCAGATCCCAACAGTCCAAAGACTCACAGGGCTGGTTTTTGTAAAAAGCAGCACTCCCATTTAGTGAATACTTGGGCAACAAGAATGCCATCAGTTGAGCTCTTTGGTCCTCGCAACCTGAACCCAATGGGCACCTCAGACCCGCTGAGGTGCGTTGTGCACTGACCCCTATCACTTGTGGCACTTGGAAGCTTCTGGTTGGGAACCTACCCAAAAACCGCCCAACCTGACCCAAGTGACCGCTAAGCCGCCAGCCTTCTCTACATCGCCCCCCTTAAGTACGCATCGAGCCCGACACCCTTGCCTCGGTGAGGCCCTTGATGGCATACTGCTCGCCCATGTTGAACTGTGGGTTGGCCACGTAGTCGTAGGGAACATAACCTCGGACGTCAAACCAGAAACGCTGGCTGCTAGCTAGCTACTGCCGCACAGCTGAAGAGGTATAGCAAACTTGGCAAAAGCACTGCCAGTGCATCAAGCAGCCGTAGCCTTGGTCGCCCCAATCTGGTCCCCAGCTGTTCCTCACAACGAAGATGCTCTGGCGATCGTTGTAGCCCACCAGCAGCATGGCGTGGAGCCCATGATCGGCTGATTGAGGGTCACTGGGGTCGGGTGTGGCACAAAAGCCCTGCCGAGGCCGAAAGAATCCTAGTAGCAAGGCTCAGGGTCGAATGAAATGAAATCAGACTCTCATCAAGCACACCGTTTCCAAGCAACACCCGTAAAAGGCAATAAAGCAACAAACAAGCTAGCGAAAGAAGCAGAAAACCTTCTCACCAGTGACCGGGGCTCTCTGTGTCAGCTTCAAGCCAAAAACAATGGGATGGCCCTCGGCCAGGCAGCGGCGCATGGAATCCAAGTCGACCGGAATTCGGGAGGCTTCCAGCACCTGGCGGTGTGTGGGTCGTTCGGGCGGTTTTGGTCGGGGTTTTCGGAAGCCCTTTTCACCTCCTTTTTCAACAAAGGAGAAGGGTGCGAGCGGCTGTCTCCGGTCTACACCCGGCGTACCCGGTGGCTCTGGCGCCTTATGTCTTCGGGCCTTCTCGAAGCACTCCTGGGCAGGATGGGGACAGTCTCATTCCGTGGAACAGATAAGGCCCCAGGCTCTCAAACGCTCCGTAAGAAAGCGAAGCCTTGGCCTCATACAGATGAAAATGTTTTTTGTTTTGATTACGGCGGATGTGCAAACATGTGCATAAAGAAAGCATATCAAAAAGTACATCCTCAGTACCTCTTGGAAATGCGGGATGCATTTCAAGAATCTGCTAAGACTTTCGTGGACTGCCAACCTCACGCACATGTGGTGTGGGACGGTTTTTGTTGTCGCTTTCGCGGTCTCTTTGAGACCCCAGTCCTCCGTGGGCTTCTTGTTCACACCCTTCAGGTCATAAGGCCACTCAGACTCCATACATGCGCCATGGGTTTGCATCGCTGTGATCGCCCCACCGATGGTCATCCCCTCATCGCACAAGGGCCCCTGCGATGGCTTGTCCCACTCAGGCAACTTCATGGAACACGAGCCCTCGAAGAAACCAAAAAACACATCTGACAAAAGAGAATCTCTGGACTCCACTTTACTACTAGCATCTTCTCCTTCTTGTTCACTTATACACCCTCTTGCCCAGTTGGAGCCCCGGGCCTTTTCAAAAAATGTCTCCTGATCCCTCTTGCGGCCCACGTAGTAGATGAACAAGCGAGAGATGTCTGCAGGAGTGTCCCCATTTTCCTTGCAGTGGCGCATGTTCAAGTACTCAAAGGCCCCGGCCACGGCGTTTGCGCAACAGCTATTGCACTGACCTCTGGTCTTCAACCGGGCTCATGTGATTGCGCAAGTCCACTTTTCCAGGCAAATCACCTCATAGCATTTGGCAGGGTCTAGGTTCAAGCTTTGAGCGGCCTAACACAGAACCAGCAAGTATCGAAGCAAAAATCACCCATGCCTGTCTTTGTGGGCTGGTACTCTTTCGTGATCGCAGGTGGGGGGCCTCCCGCTTTCATACCATAGGGCGCAAAGGTCTTGCCAGCACAAAGGACACGCTTCTTGGACTTCTTCTTTTGGTCCAAGAACTCAGGAGCAAGACATGCAGAACATACCTGACCCATGGCTCGCACCGCAAACCAAGACACTTGTTCTAGAACCTTCCAGCTGCAGCACGCACATGGCCATAACAAAAGATCAACTTGAACAGTGAACGTTGAATGGCGCCGCTGGCTTTGCTTCCAATGCCAAGGTGGCGAAGGATGTATAATTACCCTGAAAAGACTGAAAATAGTGGTGGCACTGTTTGTATATCAGGGACACCTTGAAAGAACAAGTCTCCACACGCAACTTTGATCTAATGATCTAATGCAAGCTAGAGGGGGTTCAACTTACATAAATGCGCCACCCCAAAGGAACCCGGAGATTTCTGATTGCATGGACAACTTGTTGGACGATGAGCGCTACATAGACTAAATATGTATATTCATATAAATTAATATGTATGTAGATTGGAACGGTCCATTGGGAGGCCCAAACCGTTGGATCCCTGTACTTGCCAGGAATGAACATCCAACCTTGTGGACAACCTGGCACGCCTTCGCAAAGACAATGGCCGCATTGGGATCCTCTCCTCGCTGAGATGCCTCTGATCGACCCCAACCACCGGAGAATCACACAGTTGTGACACAGCAAGGAATCATGAGTTGACACAGTCTGTTTCTCCGCAAGAATTGAGAAGCCAAACAGCCATACTATATATCTGGAGAATCAGAAATGGCAGTTCATTCCTGCGCTTTCCGATCTTCCTACTTGGCAGTGCTGCACTTGTCAAGTTGATTGATAGGGCAGCACGGGCAGCACTGCTTAAAGTGACACAGAAGGTTGACTGGCCCGGCCTCCAGCAAAACTCAATTGGAAGGATCCCGGGGCGAAAAATCAGTTCATTCAGAACATGTGAGACGAGATCCCCTGAAGTCAAAGAGGATCTCCCCTCAACCTCCGGAGGTTCGGCCCTCCCCCGCCTGCTGGCCGGCCTCCAGGAGTTTCACTGAAGCCCTCAACGGCATCTTGGACAAGAGCTGAAGCGTCTCGTCCTCCCGGTCGGCACGGAGATCGGGGGGGGGGGCCTGGTCCCAGAGCGAGTGGACCAATCCCTTCGTGTGTCTTTTGGGGCAGCCACCGGTACATGTCCAAGAACGAGCTCCACTTCTCACTTCTCCCATCTATCATCTATCTCCCCCCCCGGCTGAAACAGTTCGGAGCCTCCAGGACCAGCCCCAACTCCATCGCCTTCTGCCTCCGGCAGCCCGGCGATCAGGCGCGAAGCGCAACACATGACAGGCCAGGTAAATCACTGCACGAAGCCCCTCAGCACCCTCCAAAAGCGAACAGGTTTTTCCTGAATTCAAAGATCTTTCGCTTCCCCATCTGAACCTCGCTGTTGCCCTGCTGTCTAGTGCTATACGGGTCCCCTGCTGGTTTTCTTAAAAGGTGGGAGAATGAGAAGTGACCTGAAGCACGCCCTTCGACCGCCTTCCGACTTCCGCACCTGGTCTGGTTGCCAGTGAAATTGCGCCCACCACCCGTACCTCGGGGCCGGAAGCACCAGGGACGACAGGTCACACACCGATGGCCGGCGATCGGGATGGAATTGAATTCTGCTGAGCACGGTAGCTGTTCAAAAGGTCATACAAATGTCGAGTTCAGTTAAGAACCCGGCAAAGAAAAATGAGTTAGTGCAAAAGTCATCGTGGCGACTTGAAACATGTGTATATACAGTAGATGCGAGAACGAACTGGACCCCACCGCCAGCCTCCTTCTTTTATGATCTTGGCAACCGCGGCCTAGCAACAAGCAACACACGGGCCTTTCGAAGGTCAAAACCGCTGAGGACCGCGATCGGCATGCGGCACTGTTCAAAGAACAGGAAATCAAACCCGAAATGACAGGTATGGGTTCAGTCCATACCTGTCACGGCTCCCCTCCCCTTGAACTTGCACATCTTCAACATGAAGCAAGTTGAACGGCGCCATGCTCCTCCCCCGGCGCCATGCTTCGAAGCTATGGCTCGCGAGACGACCTAAACGACCTAATGGCTTATGACCGACGAGAAGTGCAGGCGTTACTTGCTGCAAATCGATGCATAGCATGCAATTTAGTGGGCGAATGAGAGGCGCTAACACGGCCAGATTCATAAGCATCGAACAAACTTGAACTCATCTGTGCTTTGAAGATGAGACTCCCATGTGCCATCGCCGGGCATTATGAGCACAAACCTGAAACCAAAAATAACTCAGTGACCAGGCACACACACACTTGAGATATTGTGCATTGAAAACTGGCTGACTTCAAGGAACCTAACTTCAACCATGTTCAGCAATGCAAGCGCGGCAGGCTAGACCCTGCAGGCAATGCTTTGGTCACGATGTCAGCAGGCTTAGCAGATTCAACATACTGACGGAGAATGACAGGCTCTTCAAAAGCTTGACAAGTTGATAGCGTGGAACTTACTTATGCTTCTTCACCTTTGCTGAGAAGCCACGAGCGATGAAAGCAAGCACGACTTGGTGGTCCTCATAGCGTCGAAGAACCAACTCCAGATTGGCATGGCCACTGTGGACAAGGTGAACAGAGAGGAGGGTAAACTTAAACTCCGCCTTTGTGGTTTCTGCGGCTGACCGCATCCCCCAATCGCTTCGTTCACATCCCCCGGTCGTACAGCAACAGCGTCGTCGATTCTGGCGATCCGCCGGTCACGAGGGACGCCGAAAGTGATGTGGCACATGCATGTATTGCAACCAACTGACCCTTCGCAACCGCATGCACTTCATTACCAGCTTAGCTGCGTACCTAGTGAGCTTGCTAACAGTAAGCTGACAGGTTTACCTGAAAGCCTGTCATTCAGACTCACACTGATTCGCAAAGTCTGCTGAATGCAACGCATCGCCACCCAAACCCTTGACCGCGGCAAAGCACCTTTGAGCTGGACATGCTGTCTCATTCACTCCTTATCTTTCGAGTATTTGCAACAAGTCAATCGTGTCTGAATGGCATCAATCAGAAGGGCCTGAACGTAGTCATTGGGATTCCGTATTTTGACCTTGGAACATGGGGGCGCGCTTGAATGAAACCGATCTCATTACGTGGCATGAAACCGATCGTGGGATCCATGATCCCAGCACTTCAAAGACTTGCACATCCTGCCTGACAGCCCGGGGCTCCCTTGAAACAGTCCCGCTTTCCGGTATGTTGTCCTTCCCATCTCATCGACACGTGCAAGGACCGCAAGGAGGCAATAGAAAATCAGGTGCTAAGGTCCTGGCGTTACTCTTCCCAGAACCTGAAAGAAGAAAATCCATTTCTCAGGGAGTGCTTTGTACAAATGCTGCTAGCAGTGAAGGCAGTGCACCAACTGTTCACACCTGACTGGACATTATAAAATGCAAAATGCTACACAAGCCCGTGCAAAACAAATCTGACAAAAACAAATACCCACATGCCCACATGCCACATAAAGTGCACAACACATGACTGCTAATGGGCCACTTTGCTACAATGCTGCAAAGGCAAGTTCTTCCGTCAAGACCCGCCGTTGATCAGCCCCGCTGATCACCGCAGCAGCCACTTGTCCACTAAGTCACTCGTCCACGCCGTCCACCCGCCTTTGGAATAGAGCGAGCCCAGCAGATCCATGCCCTGCTCCTGCAGGAGAAGCATGGGAGTGCTGCGCTTGCCCATGTCTAGCAGCCTAGCCCAAAACGATTGCCACAAGTACCCTCGTACCCGTTTTCCAGTGGCGAGGTCCCGGTCACAACTGCCTAGCTGCCACTCACCTTCCACCTGCCCACCTGTGTCATCTTTCACGACGCTTTCACCGCGCTCCTCCGAAATACATCTCATCGCCAACAAGGACTCAGCATCCAGGCGCTGCCCCTCCCAGAGGTCCTCGCGCCGATCCGTCCGATTGGTGGCCCGAATCTTCACATCACGGGGTTGACTCCTTCTGGTTGAGGTCAAGGATGGCCATCTCGACCACAGTGGCATCTGGTGGAACCTGCCAGGTGAGGTCCGCACTCCGCATCCGGTCTGCGAGCTGCCATTACAGGCACTCCAAGACTCCAAGACTCCACAAATGACTGTCCCTTCTTTTCTCCATCGGCGCCATCTAATTTAAAACCGGCGCCATCTGTCCACATCAGCGGCTTTCTTGGAAGCATAAAATCACCCAAAATCCGCTTCATGGAAAGTCCATGGTCATGATAACTGATGATAACTGATAACTGTAGCTGCAAAAAGCATCAAAAAGCCACTCAAAACGATGTGGGGAGGTCAGCAATCCTGCAGGTGACCTGAGTGACGGAGCAGTGAGCGAGGGGAGAGGGCGGCAGCCGTGGGCAAGAGGCTAAGGTGCCTGAAGCATCTTAGAACTGGAGGTGGGCATGCCAGTGCACGTCCGAGATCAAAGCCATCTAGCAAACTTATGTCAAGCCCATTCAAAACCTATGCCAAACCTGCCTTCACAAACCGCTATGCGTTGCAAAGTGAATGCAAGGACCCGGACCCTGACCCCTTAAATCCCCACACGCCTTCGAAGCATTTTCGGCCAAAGACCCTCTCTCCACCCCCAGCCGGGCTAGGGTGAGGTCCGCCACCGCCACGGCAAGACGCATCCGCCCGACCGGTGAAACGCTCAGACTCATCACTTGATCCATCAACGTAGCCTTCCATGCTTGTGATCACCCAGCCAGCTGTCAAGATCTTCGATCTTCTTCATGTCAGGGTGCAAGCCTGCCTGAGCCCATCCCATGTCACCCTATCACATGCGGTCTAACCCCGAACAGGTTTGCTGTGGAAAATGGAGAAACTATGAACTAGAGACGGTTCAGGAAGCTCATGGGGAGAAAGGCTCCTCAAAGTTGATGGTTCAGTTGCGCCAAGCTGCTGCGAAGAAAGAATCCTTCATCCGCACTGCGAACTGATCCCATTCTGCTGGCGACACATGACCGTCAATGCTTCCTGAGACAAGGATGTGCCCACGAATCTACAGCATCCAAAGAGGAAAAGAGATGTCAAACACGTGAAAACAATCGAACTTGCACAGTTGGCACAATCTTGGCTGAATTGATCTCCCAAGATCTCCATCTCATCTCATCTGCCTGCCATTCCA